AGCATGACTCACTTGTGGCGTTAAATCACTCTGACGCCCAGATGCTAACTACGTATCCATGCTACGGGTGGCGTCATAAGATCAGCTGTTGGTGCTTCAAGAAGATGTAAAGAATTAATTACTCTTTAGACCACAAGCATGTGAAGGACTTGACGCTTTTTGAATGGAATATTTTGATTGCTGTCAAGAGGCAAGTTAGGTTTTATTACTGAGACTGCTGACTGGCTCAGCCGAATGTCCAACACCAATTATTTGCTGTCTTTGCACTGAGTCTTCATACACGACTGAATCAGTCGCCCTGGGCCATTTGCCACTCACTCTTCCTTGTGGGGTCGAGCTGCAGTAAACAAGTAGCTTCATCCCTCGCTGTCTGGTGATCACACGGACCAGTGTCATGCCTGAAGTCACAACCCTCTCATTGGACGTTTGTTTGTTCATCACAAGCACAGGCATCCATCATAACGTCCTTTTGCTGGAGCTGTCTTGCTGCCTGACATCCATTCACTGCCACTGTGCCGCTGGGGAGTGATCCTGTCATGGATACTGCCTGCCTTTCTCGGCCTCTATCCAACCTTTATTTCACCATTTAAAGGTTGCGGCTCCTCAATAAATGAGAATGTGTGAGAAAAAGATACTGGATAAAACGAAAAATGTACTAACTTTGCTGTGCTACGATCCGCATAATGGAAGACGCAGGCGACGTCTGCATAGTAAGTTGTGTTGTTATATTAGTGCATGTTTGTTCAGTCCTCTGCGACTTCGCGGTTTAGATAAAGTAAAAAATTGATGAGGTAAGAATAGAGATAATTTCATTGAGATTGAGGCAGCGGATTGAACGGCTCTAAACAGCCAGCCTGATAACAATAAATCTAAGGCTGCCCAACTTTGAGCATTGCAAACTACCAACGAATTCTTATCAGAAATTTAACAATATAGGGCAACATGGGGCAGCGCCCCCCCCCCTTTTTTTTAACTAAATTTTTGATGAAGTTTTAATTGATACGATGTGGTTCTTTGTTTTGTTTAAAGGTACAACTAATGAGGAATGTATGATGTGAATTAGACGCCTATGGAATTATTCAATTTTTAATGGAACACAATTTTGTAAAAAGTGTCAAATTGGGCCTATTGCCCCACCCCTGGGGCAATGGGCCTATGGGCTTGGGGCAATACGCCCACCCTTGGTCCTTTTACCACAATTGCATATTTTTCGTTTAAAAATTATAAAACAACACTTTACAGTTAAAAATAAGAGAAATGTAATAAAAATATGACATTCATTCATTTGTTACCAACTCAAAAAATCATATCCTCAACTTGAAAAAAATATACTCTTGGCTTAAAAAATCTATCATTGATGTGAAGAAAAATATTTCATTGACATAAAAAATGTAATATATATTTATATATATATCCTTGACTTGAAAAATATATCCTTGCGATAAAAAATTCGTGCTTGACATGAAAAAAATGTATCATTGACTAAAAAAATATATTTAGTTGATCAGAAAAAAACTTCGTTCCAGTTTCGTCCATAATGCAGATATTATGTGCAGAGAATTCGTACCAAATCGTGATTTCAGCCAACACCATAAAAACTCATCAACTTTTGGCTCATTGGTGTTGACTGAAATCAACTTTTGGCAAGGCAAGAGTCAATAACTCAATAAGGAGTCATAAATACGCATAACTAGAAACTAAACCTGCTGCCTTGAGACGGTAAATAAAAAAAACATGCAATATGAAGTGTAATTTGTAATTCAAAAAGCTAGTCATAGTTTTGAAAAGGTCCTTGAGACAAATCCAATGATGTATAACACAAGACTTCACCATGCATGGGCGCTATGCCCCGTGACTCGCGTGGGCCCGTTGCCCCACTAGGTATATCATTTCAAGTTATATAGTGTCAACATTTTATTTTAAAAGCTAATAGTCTAAACTTGATCTCAAAATTATCCCTATAAATATTACTTTCAAAATATAATTCACAGTAATTTCAAAAGCTTCATCTACAGTAATCGAAAACAGTTTTATTTAGCAGCAAAAAAAAATTATCTGGGCTAAAACACTTATTCACAAATCACTAAATAACGCAAACACTTAGCAAAACGTAAATCCGTACACTTCATCCCGGTGAAACTGTCGACCGGCGGTAGAGAACACGGACCAATATCTGCCATACTTAGCGAGAAACCAGCTATGGGCCCATGACCCGCAGTGGGCTCGCTGCCCCAATGTTACCCTACTGAGTTTTTAAAGTTCATACGTATTTTCATCTTATTTCAAAGTTTACTTGTCCATGTAAGAAAAATTTACTCGTGTCGCAGCGATGTGATGTATGAGACGTCTCGTTTTATCGTACTTCGATCAGTGGCCGCTCAATGCTACCGCTCATATCTCAGGTCTCACGGCTGTGTGTCACCAGCGATGGAAGGTGCAAGTAAACTTTTGATATTCATGGTTCAATAGATAAGTGATGAGCAATGCTGTCAATGTTGCCAAACATAGATTATAGTTTATGGTTGTCACCAGCGGTGAAAGGTGCAAACAAACGCTCTATATTTATTGTTTGGTGCCGCTATGATGAGCAATGCCTGCTCTTTGATATGCTAATGAGCCATCACTGCTCATCCCTGGAGTCAGTTCCTGCTCACAATAAGGCTCGGCGTGAGGTGACGCTCTTCTCAAAGCCTGGCTAAAAATTCCCCCGCTTAGCGCTGCAGAGCAAACTGTTTTTGTGGAGTGGAGAGGCGGCCGAGGGTGAGTGCGTGTGACACAATGGCCGGATTATCTCGTGTTTACTGGAGTGATCCGGCGAGGGGGGCTGCTCTATACGCGCTCTATAAACTCGTATATAGTAGCTGGCCTTCGCGGAGCGAGGGTAATACTGCTATTGCTGGGGATAATGCTGCTATTGCTGAGGGTAATGCTGCTATTGGTTAGGCATGCTGCTATTGCTGAGGGTGATACTGAGCCTATTGGTGAGGATAATGCTGCTATTGGTGATGGGCATGCTGCTATTTGTGTGTGGACTGCAGCTATTGCACTTCAGGCGTCGGATAGGCAAATATTATTACGATGTCCTCACTCCTGCAATGATCGTGCCAAATCGCTATATATATCATAAAAAAAGCTAGAGGAAAGCTTTAGATTACTAGACATTAACAAAGATTCAAATTTCTCACAAATTTAAGGCATCGATGGACGTAAGTACATGGGAATTGCATGCTATTTGTTTTTCATTAGATACTCATTGAAATTATTGCAAGAATAATCCTCAGCACCAGCTCAGCAGCCCGGGCTATAGGGTCTCGTAGAGCATTACTAGCTTGATGCGCCGCAATGGCACGGCAATACATCAGTTATTTAGCACGGCTGGGAATACACGTCTGGACCCTCCTGGTCATCTTTGTGAACATCTTACGGCGAGATGCTCATTGTACATTACAGTATACAAAATATGCCTGCTAATGAACGTCTGTTTTTATTCGTAAGAATTGCCGCCAATTGCGGACTTGATAGCCGAAGCCGTAACCACGATGCGACGTACAATGTGTACATGTGTTGTTCACATGTAATCAATGTAATGTGTAATCAATGTAATGTGTACATGTGTTCACACGTAATACATGTGAACACATGTAAGTGTACATGTGTTATACGTTTCTTCCCCCCCCCCTCCCCCGGTGTAGCGACCTTTGTTATCGTCCATCAAGGCTGCTTCAGCGCCTTCTGATGCGCTACAGATGGTCGCCGATGGTATCGCAGGGCTGAGTTTTACCTCATTCTACCATTCCGTGCCGCGTATATACGCTTGCTGTGCTGCGTAGGCTGGAAAAAAACAGCACTAACTGCTGTTTTTTCGTTACTTTTTCTGCTCGCGTTGTTCCAAATTTGTGTTATTTTTCTACGCTTTTCATTTGATTCGGAAATGAATCACGGCGTGTATGACATAAATGGCAGTTAGAGATCGCTTTGCATCTCCGCACAACGCTGTGGCTTGTCTGCCCGACGTCACGGCAGCTATAACGGCCGGCGTCGCGCCCGTCCTCACCCAGTTAAGAATTATTGCAGGATTATCAGCGGCCGCTCTTCTCCCATCTTTAACCCACCGCATTCCTGGTCAAAAATTTCTTCTGCCCCTCACGTCAGCGCCACCCGAGGGAGTTTATGGGCGAGTTGATCCCGTAACGGCGGCGACCCGTCGCTGCTGCAGCAGGTCCTGGCGACGGACGCCTCTTCTCTAAATCACGTCGCGCGACGATGTCTGCCTAACATGGCGGCGCGCTGTCTCTCACGCTCCGCTCGCTGCAACCTAATATAGAAAATATATAAATCAGTGGTTTTGTACATGCTAATTTGTTGTTATTTTGCAATGGATAACATTACCTACATATAGTGAGGGTATTTACTTCAACGTTCATGGAGTTATTTTACTACAATGAATTCCCTGCTCTCAATGCAACTTTTAAAAACATTATCCGTGTGTGTAGCGATGATGAAGTGGTACTGTGCACCGCGCGTGTACCGCGCACCGCGTGGGTACAGCGGCTTGTTAGGTCCCAATTTAGTGGTACTGTGCACCGAGCGTGTACCGCGCACCGCATGGGTGCAGTGGCTTGTTAGGTGCCAATTTAGAGGCATTGTACGTGTGCGCTGAAGCCTCACCGCTGCCTCAGCGGCGTCAGCGCAGGCCTCCAATGCGCCGTCTAATTGTGGTGCATTCACACCCGCGTCACCGTACAATAAAAGTGTATATGCTAGTCTTATCATACAAACCCGCCTCATTGAGCATGCACCTCTCAGTAAACATGCTCGTCTCAATAACTTAAATATAAATTCACAGTGCAATTTTTATTTTTTGTATCACTTAATTTTCAACATCAAACGTTACCTAGTGTGTTGATGTCACTTGCTAATTAACATGAAATGATACCTATAGTGTGTTGATGTTAATTGCTTATGCGGAATGATAGCTCACGTGATGATGTGTGTCGCAGCTCTCGCGGTACGCACGCCCACCATCAGCTGGATCACCAAGGAGCAGATTGTCGACATCGGATCGTCAGTGCAGCTGGAGTGCTCTGTGCAGTACTCCGTCGACTACCCCGTCCTCTGGATCAAAAAAGGGTCAGACGAGACCCAAGATCTGCCCATCAGCTCCGGTCCTACTCTCATCCTTAGGGAGCCTCGGTACTCCCTCAGACACGACACTGGATCCTCCACCTACATCCTACAGGTACAGGTTACTCTTGTCTGTAGCCTATATCCTCTAGGTACTGCTTATTCGTGTCTGTAGCCTACACCATCCATGTAATGTTTACTCTGGTCTGTGACCTGTTCCTACAGTTCCTGCTTTCTCTTGTCTGGAACCTACATACTCCAGGTAATGCTTTCTTTTGTCTCTATATCCTTCAAAGATAATATTTCTATCTACTCACGAATCATTTTTTTATATAAACAACCTTCTTCTCAATGTTGATCATCAGGTATTTTACAATCATATGCACGCAAGGACGACAGCAACAGTGCGCATGCACGACATTCGCTCGAAATAGTCAGTTTGCTATCAATCAAACATACTATCAAAACTCTCATCTATCAAAAATACTAGCGAGTGAATTTTGAGGATAAAAAATGAGGTTATAATTACCTGATGGAAATTTTACCGTATTACTCCGGACAACTTATTTGATTATGTTGAAGACGGTGAAATGTGTCATTAGACGGCGGAAGTGATGCGCGTGGTTGATGACTCTGTTGATGTTCCTGGAATATCAAGACTGAATTGAAAGTATTACCTGAGTGTGTACAGAATCTAGAAAAATTGTTGAATTTAACTTATTCTCTACGTGTGTACAGACCCTATAGAAACTTTGCGCCGCAGGAACACGAACGACTGGCGGCTGCTTTCCTGACCGTAGGGATCATTATTCATTAAAACAGACGCCTTCAAGCAGTCAAGTTTATAGAATTTACGCTATCTATTTTTGCCCGTCGCTTAACCAGCTCTGTTGGTTCAAGACAAATAATGAATTTCAGAAAATAAGCACATGAATACAATAAGGATTTGTTCGAACCGTCGGTCAATTCAAAGCCTGGTTTACTTTGATCACAGCTGTGCCATGCCAATCCCGCAGCTCAATGCACAGGCTACCATAGTTAACAAAAGTTCAAGCCGCGATTAGAATTATGTTCGGTATTTAATGCAGTGTGATGTGTTTAATGAGGTAAAATGTGACGCAGCAATGACAAAAGCAGCAATGCAAGACCGCGCGCGGCACAAATATAATTGAATTGTTATTGATCATTCAAGGTGGTCCTCATAGCTTCAGTTGAGTAATGGATATGGCATACATTACAGAAATAGATATTGTAACGAGTACCTTAACAAACGGCATTATCTAACGAACTGCTAATATTAAGCTTTAATCCATTACACAATCGAGTTAACCTCCATTGTAAATATCTAATCTTCATACGAACTGTAAGAAAGTGCATTAAAAATATTCAGCGTTAAAAAATACAAATGTTTGAAATCGGACCGTAAAGAAGGGCTAAATTTGTTTAGTTTCAATTTTTCTTATGAATAGTTGAGAGATTCATGCCATTGTGCGCGATTTCATCAAGATATTTGAGTACATTTTTTGTATAAATTAGTTCGCAGCTTGGTTGCACGCTCTCTCAATTTAAATTAGTTCACTTAATTGTAACCTCGATTAGCTTTATTCAAATTACGTACCTAATCACAATATTTACGCCATAATTATACTAATTCTAATTAATATTTAAACTGCAACTTCAAAGCGAATCTAACTCGACAAAAATAACCTGGTATTCAAACAGAATAAAAAATATACCAAACTGAGAATACCACAGAATAAAAAATATACCAAACTGAGAATACCACAGAATAAAAAATATAACAAACTGAGAATACCACAGAATAAAAAATATACCAAACATGTATAGATGACTGCATTTTGTGTGCGTGCAGATCAAAGACCTGCAGGAGAGCGATGGAGGAGAGTACCTGTGTCAGGTGCTCATTAGCCGCACTAACCGCGTCACTGCCACCGTCAACCTGCTGGTGCGACGCCCCCCGTACATCCTCGACAACAGCACCAGGTCAGCGGCGCCCTCGGGGCTCACGGGGTACTGGGGCAATAGCAATTCAAAAAGGTCAACAGGTTCATAGTTCATGTAGTCTTGCTGATCATAGTATCTTGTGTAACTTTAATGATATGTTGGGGTTCGAGATGAGAGGTATACGGTCATTACTCATTTATTTTTTAGCATTCATGACTTTCCACTGTTATAGTTGTTAGGATTAGTTGCCACTATTATAATTGATGGTTATTTCGCCCTCCCCGTGTCCAGGACGGTGGTGGTTAGCGACGGGGACAGCGTGAAGTTGGAGTGCTACGCAGGCGGGGTGCCCACGCCCTCCATCTCCTGGCGCCGCGAGAACAACGCCATCCTCCCCACCGGCGGCTCCATCTTCAAGTGAGGCTCGCTGCCCCCCAACATGTTCCAATACTAGCGTCTCTCCTCATAACACAAACAAAATTTAGTAAGCAGGTGCTAATAAAATTAGTTCCGTCACGTGAAACTTCCCGGTCTTCCCCCCCTCACAAAAAATAATAGAAAAAAACAGAAAGACGTTATACGATCTATTTTGATTGATCCGGTATTGATAATTCTAATCACTGTACATAAACAATATTCTTCGTGTAATGCGTCAAACACGTTGCACCAGAAGCAGAGGGTAAACAAGGTTTATATTGTGCAGGGGCAACATCCTGATGATCCCGAGCGTGCGCAAGGAAGACCGCGGCACCTACTACTGCATCGCCGACAACGGCGTGAGCCGCGGCGACCGCCGCAACATCAACGTCGAGGTGCAGTTCGCGCCCGTGGTCGAGGCGACGCGACCACGCGTCTACCAGGCCATGCAGTACGACATGGACCTCGAGTGCCACGTGGAGGCCTACCCACCCGCTGCCATCGTCTGGATCTTCCGGTGAGTCTCCCTGCCATCGTCTGGATCTTCCGGTGAGTCTCCCTGCCATCGTCTGGATCTTCCGGTGAGTCCTGCCATCGTCTGGATCTTCCGGTGAGTCTCCCTGCCATCGTCTGGATCTTCCGGTGAGTCCTGCCATCGTCTGGATCTTTCGATGAGTCCTGCCATCGTCTGAATCATCCGGTTTGTACTCTTCTCCAGCTATCAGAAATCATTTGAATAAATATTTAAATAGTTACATTTTAGAAAGTTTTCGATCAACTATTATGTCTCGTTTATAGCTCAGAAATGGCTAATGATATCCAGCATTTTTGGCATAAATTGAATGTTACCGCATAAACTTGTCCGTTTAATCACTTTTTTCCCGGCATTTCAGACAAGAATCGATCGTGAACAACAGGGACTACCGTGTGTCGCAGTTCACGACGGCGGACGAGTTTACAGACACGACGCTGCGAGTGATCACCATCGAACAGAACCAGTTCGGTAACTACACCTGCCGTGCCACCAACAAGCTCGGCCAGTCCTCCGCCACCGTCACTCTAATAGGTGTGTGTTGTCTGCATGTACATAGTCATGTAATGCTAGTTACTTGAATGGAAACGCATCTGCCTGTACTGCGCTACCTTGGTCCCGCTTGACTGCACGGTCCCAAGGCTTCGGCGACAGTTCCCAGTGGCCTGAGAGCGGATTTTTACCTACCTCTTCCTGCTGCACGTACGATTGATCCCTTGTGATATTATGACTTCTATCTTTACTTGCCCATACCGCCCTTTCCTTATGTATTTCATAGTTGTACCTTGGTGTGCATAGGCCATTGCATCTACTATCTTACCGGTTATTTATCCCCTTGCTATTAATTTTTTCCCCTGCTATTCATTTTTTCCCCTGATATTCCCTACGTACCAATTCATTTTTTCACCTACCCATCCGCTTCCAAACTATTTACCTAGTGCATGTTTCCTACTACCAAACTAAAGATGCTAGTACCAACTTGAGTGAGTCCTGCTCTTGGTCCCTTGGTCGTACAGTAGCCTCTACTGCTCCTGGACAGATCACTGTCCCTTTAGTCCAGGCCAAGCCTTGCTTCTCTTCACATTATTTATCAGGAATTTAAAAGTAAAGAAAATAGCCAAAAATTTCACCATTTCTTATAAGAGAAAACGTTTCGGAGTTTTTTGGCTATTTTCTTTACTTTTAAATTCCTGGTAAATTTGCGACTTAAGCAGCCAAGTGATTTTAACACATTATTTATTACGTATTTTTTTCTCGTAAATACTGAAATTTTTCGATGAATGATCAATAAGATATCATATAAAATGTAATCGGTGTGATGCTTTGACAGTGAGAACAATTAATTGTAGTTACGGCCAACTTGTCGACACCAACTTTTTGAGCTGAGGGTTTGTGGCTCGGCACTCAAATATTATAATTATTTACAAATTGTATGTTTCTCATCTTCACGCATCTTGTGTTATTCAAATGAACCAGATTTTTTGCGTGATTTGACATCGATGATAATTTAATGATTGGGAGTTGAAATTTAAGTGAGCTAACAACGCTAACGCCTAACTGGAGTATAGTAAAGTTGTAGCGACTCTGTCTCTTGCTCCAACTCGAGTGGAGTAAGACTGAACTCATCTATTGAACTGACGATTCTGTTCATTTAAATTTTTTAAAGTGTCAGTGACGCTGGCGCATAAATTAGCGGTCGAATTGTGCAGGCGTGGCTTTGAACTTCATTAAATGATTTAATTAATCAGTCTGTGCTGTTCCATATTTTGCATGTATTTAATTATTGTAAAATTTGTAAATAATGTAGCAATGGAACCTTACATTCTTGCGTTAAACGTAAGTCTTGTCGATGCCGCTATCGTTACCGCTTTTTGACGATTCCTGAATGAGTCCATTCATCCAGTTAATATTTATAATAAGTTCGTGATTATTAGCTAAAATGCTATCACGACAAATATCTTGCTTTCACCGTTATTAAAAATAATAAAGGAATTTAGCACATTTTCCTCTTATTGATTAGTTATTCATTACAAATAAACTAGCTCACAAAGCCACAATGTTCAGCTCTTAAGTTTGTGCACCTGTAAGCCCTTGTTGCAGTATAAGCTTGTCGTGCCCTGCCTGTCGTTGACGTCGTACTGTTTCGCCCCCTAGAGAGCATGACTCCAGTTTGCCCTCCTGCTTGTGGTCACCTGAACTTCTCCAGCGGCGTGCCCCTGGCGCCCTACGTCGCCCTCATGCTGCTCGCTGCTCTGGGCGTCTACGTGGTGCGACGCCAGCCTGTCGTCCTGTAGACAATTGTTGTCTTCACTGTACGTTGTGCTCGTGTACTTCTCTTTAATGTACCGTCTGATATTTTGTTGTTCCTGATCTTCTATTGTGCGCTGTAGTTGTTTCATGCATTATGAAATGAAATAGTTTCTATATTGGCATGGTACGTGAACGTTTTTGTGCATTTTTGTTCAATTATCGCATTCGATTCTGCAATGTTGCTAGTACCGAGCTCGTATTGTTGTCTCCTTAGATGTATCCACTTGCCTCTTCACCAAACCGCAACGTTCTTGGAAGCATCCTATAATTTTTTATAACAATTTCTATAATATTTCATAATACTCAATCCTCATACAGTGTGAAGTACTTTCGTGTCAGGCAACTCTAGCGTATTGTGGGTAGTTTACGAAGATCATCTATGACGCCAAACATATTCAGATTATTTTCAATCACTCATTACTGTATTCACTTCAATATTTTTTATTTCTGTTTGAAAACAGTTTTGTTTCCACTGCTTATGGCACTCATGCCACACTCGGAAATTGTTTCCTACTAATAGCGCCTCCGTTACTAAAAGCTAAATCATCTCTCAATATGCGACTGAATATCTTCACTGATATATGAGTACAATAACATTTCGCCTTACGCATCATCATTAATAAGTTATTTTGACACCGCAGAGTCCGCAGTGCCGAACATCAGATACCCCGGCCTACTGACGCGCTCTTCTGGGGCTGCTACTGCGGGGGCAGCATTTCCCTCCTCTTCTTGTGACCGCTGCTGCTACTGGTGCTGGTGGTGCTGGTGCGCGCTGCTGGTGCTGGTAGTCAGCAGTGCTGGTGTGCTGTAAAGCTCTGCTGCTGGTGATGGTGGTGGTGCATGCTGCTGGTGATGCTGCTGGTGCTGGTGCTGCTGGTGCTGCTGCTGCTGGTGCTGGTAGTGAGCAAGGCTGCTGCGCTGCTCTGCTGGGCATTCGCTTTACAGGCAGCAGCACCGCAAGCTGCGTCCGCTGTTTGGATCATAAATGCTTGTGAAGTGCTGAGCCGTGTTAGTGTGCGTGCTCTGTTGGTGTAAAAATTACTGGTGCGTCGTTCGTGCATGGAACATTTCCTCCATCCGTCCTGCAACTCAACGTCACGTCCTTGACTATCCGTGATCTCGGAGGAACTTTGCACCAAATCTTTTGGCTTGCGTCCTTTTTCATTCTCTTGTAGTATCTGGAAAAATTCCTGTTAATATCCACTAAAAAAATATAGCCGTCCATTTATGAGCTTCGGGCGAATATTTTCATTGTAGGAGTATATGTATTCAGCTGCAGCGAGAGCTGGCAAGTCTCGACCCTTGAATGAAGTGAGCAATATGGCTGCTCTCATTATTAGTTTATTCCCTTGGTGTTTCAATGGAATTTCAAGGAAGTCTGTTCAACTTTAAGCATCTGTATTGAAATTAATTTTATAGGATGCCACAAATGATATCTCAATGTTTCCTGGCTTAGAACGAGCACGAGAACTATACATATATAGACTCGATGTCTCTGAGCGTCGACACCACACAAATTCTTTTGTCTCTGTCATCATCATTACCATCATCCTGCTGATCAAGTGCAAAGCTGTTGTTTTGTGCCTCATATTTTGACGCATTATGCCCAATTCATGTTCGTAGAAAATTCCATTCGCTTTTGTTAATTTGCTTCGTATTTTGATCGAAGTTACTCGTGCTTGCATTTCGAATATGAGTTCAGATGTTTTATTGAAACGATAAAAGCGATTGCGCTTTAAAATTTATTTTTAGCTGAATAAAAATATTATTTTTAGTGATTTTTACTGGTGACATTGCATAGTTCAATGGAAAAGTTTTCATTGCTTGATATACACTTGTACAATCCACGTATTTAGAGTACCATTCTTCACTTTTGGGCATCATATGCGCAAATGTCGTGTGAAAAATTTGCTTGGCATTACTGATGCTTTAAAGAGCTGCATCATTGCATCATCGGAGCTAGACTTCATTTAGCAATATTTAAGCTCATGTCCTTAGTAAATAAAGTAGTTGTTTGGATTGACAGCTGACAATTAACGTGACATGGTCGAGTTATGCCTCATGTGTGTACAGTATATAGGATGAGTCGTGTTCTGCGCACGCGTCTTACTCACGTAGCGTAACGTATTGTCTTTTGTATAGCAATGATAGCTCTAAGGCAGGCTTGACGGAGTGAAGTGGAAACAAAGTTGTTTGCTCTCAGGCTCTACCGTAATGATGCATGACTCGCCACTGCACCCGAGTCGCCGCCCTCTTATTATAACAGTGTACACTTTACTAATAATTTAACACATGCTTCTGAACCTCAATTATAAATTATTAACCCCAATCAACCTCTACTTGTGCTCCGCAAAAACCATCCACAAAATTTATTTCTAACCAGCATCATATCGTTCGTATTGTAGGGTGGCGACTTACGAGCAGTGGCGACTTTTGTGTCATTGAAGGCGCACGTGTAGAATCTTTTTTATCGGTTGGAACTCGACCACCCGCGCGCTCCAATTTGCAGAATATTCTCATCAAACTCAAGATCTTGTACAGTCCGAAAATACATTCCTAAGGTAATGAGGGTCAAAAAACTTTTGAATTATTCTTGTATATCTTAGAAAATCTTATGCTTATAAACCTACTCAAATTAGTTCTAGAATTAAATTTCAGTGAAGAAGAATCATGAGGAGATATTTTTCTGGCACCGGAAGCTTGTTGAGCTGGTTGGGTAATGTGAATGTCTCTGACTTAACGCACTGCTGCGTCATACACTTCTGAAGGCTCGAATTAGTTTGAATTATTCGTTGAGTTGTACATAGTATCATCGTCTTGTGTATAGTGATAGTTTTTAGCTAACAGCTTGTCCAATTCACTTGGCATCAACTTCCCTGTGTCCAGCACTCTATCAACTCATGGCTTTCTTTTTTTACAAAATTCCAGAAATCCGGGTACCAGACATCGAAACAATGCAAGCGTTGTTTTAAATCAATATGCAAATCATCCACATTTTATATATACTAAACCTACGGAATGCCACGTCACAAGTCCGAAAACCTCAAATTCACAAACTTATAATCATAAAGCTTAGCAATGAGAACCATTATTCTGATTTATTCAATATCGTGTCAGTTTAGCAGGATCAACTCATCATTCAATTAATAATTGTTTGTTTGCACATTGCTCTTTTTTACAGACAATAAAAATCACAATTAACGGTCACAACATCTTATTTTCCGGACGTATAGGTAGATATTTGGGTCTGGGGTCATGCAATAGAATAGAAGTGTCGGCATTGAAGAAAATAGGCCTATGACCTGTTGAGGCTGTTGTTAAGGCATTGAGACCGTCTCGTGTCATGCAGTTGAGTGGCCTATGGTTTCACGTCACCGTCCATCAAAAGCAAAGAAAATCTAACAAAAGATGGGTAATCAGGGTTTAATAGTAAAATTTCAAAAGTGTTTCTAGTTTTGTTGAAGCCAATCGCAATAAATGAAGTTTTAGTCGTTGTGAAATTCAGCGTGTTGAAGTCAGTGGCAGCTCTAGAGTGTTATTGACGGCAATGAATTAATTAAAAATTCCTTTCCGTAATAACATCAAAGTAACGAATTACATTGACGGTGATTTAATTTAAACTTAATTTTTAATTCTTACATCAAATTGAACGCGTTATTCAGACGATATGAATTTTCTGTGTGGACAGTCTGTGCTTGCTGCAGACGAGGCTGTCTCGTGCTTGCTGCAGACGAGGCTGTCTCGTGCTTGCTGCAGACGAGGCCGTCTCGTGCCTGCTGCAGGCGAGGCCGTCTCGTTCTTGCTGCAGGCGAGGCCGTCTCGTGCCTGCTGCAGACGAGGCCGTCTCGTGCTTGCTGCAGACGAGATCGTCTCGTGCTTGCTGCAGACGAGGCCATTTCGTGCTTGCTACAGGCGAGGCCGTCTCGTGCTTGCTGCAGACGAGGCCGTCTCGTGCTTGCTACAGGCGAGATCGTCTCGTGCTTGCTGCAGACGAGATCGTCTCGTGCTTGCTGCAGACGAGGCCGTCTCGACAGGCGAGGCCGTCTCGTGCTTGCTGCAGACGAGGCCGTCTCGTGCCTGCAGTCAGTACACGGGAAGGGTGAAACAGTGAGCAGGGTGTACCGAGACCTTGAGATAACTTCTATTTTGTAAAATTCTTATATTGTCTCAAATGAAAGTAAATCTTTTGAACTGATGTTGAGATTTTCTGATGAACCTTTGCCGTAATGGAATCATTGCAGCAGCAGCAGCATTTTTATGACCGCCATCGGGTGATGAACCTTAATATGACGTCAACATTATGCACTCCATTATTCAGCTTTTAAACTTATTTAATTCAGTTTGTCACTTCGTCTCTTTGAGATGCTAACGCTGCTTCCTTCGAGCCAGCTTCAGCGGGCTGGACATCCGAGACCTTCCGCCCCTTGTGGGTGATGAATAATAGAGACCTTCCACCTCTATGGTGATGTTCATCTTGACTTTCGGTGCGAGATAGCTTAATAGCTGAAGCGCTAGTAAACATTTGGCCACTAAACTAAACTAAACTAACTAATTCAGTTATCAGCCAAACGATGTAATTTTTTATGCGTATACCCCGATTAACATCTTTTCACTTCTCACAATTCGATTAACTATGGGTTTCGTTTCATGGTGGCCCAGATGTGTTTTGTTTAACCGATGTTGAAAATTTGGATCCAAAAACATTTTTTGAATCACATCATATTTTATAACTACTTAAATATACTCATCTGAGATGAAATTACCGTATGATTGTTGAACTAAGTACTATCGTGTTAGTGGTGTTACTTATTCTTCATCCTCTACGTCTCGAATTTTTGGCTTCGACTCTGACCTTATCTTATGGAGGATAAGAGGCAAAACGTTCCTTACAGATATTTATTATTAGACAGCCAATAAATCGTTAAAATTTTTTCTTTATGAATAACTCTAAAGTAATTATGATTAAAGTGAGATGATTCATGAGTTAGGCTTGCGACAGAAGGCTTTGAAACAATATACCTGCAAGAATCGCCCTAGGAAACATCATAAGCTTGGTATTACTTTTGATCGGTCATAATATTTACAACTGTAACCTTAATACATCCATGGTTGTACCTAAGTCCTGCAATTTTAACTAGATATAAATTTTCAACGCAGCGTATAGAAGTATTTGAGAAATGTTGAGATAAATTATCCAACTTCATGCCTAATTTCGAGACAATCCTTCAACAGACAGGGTGGCCCAGTGGTTACAGTTCTGAGCTCAAAGATTGCAGCAGAGAGGTGCAGTTCGATCCCAAACTACATGCTACAGTTCTGCTGATCTATTAGGTGAGGAGGCCGGGTGGTCAAGCATAGTGAACTTGGAGCAGTGAGTTACGTGTTCGAGACCGCAACAAATTGTGAATGTATTGCGATGACAATAATAGGCGATAGATCTAAGGGCCTAATAAACGCTGAAACCGCTTTACTTTACTATTGAGCTTAATTTGAAATTCACAATCACACGTCGATAATTTTCGAATTCAGACCAAATTTTCTATCGTCCGAATTTACGGTCTCTATACATGCAAAGATGTAGGCATGGTTGATCCATGGATGTAGGTGCCTGTTTAAACAGTCACAGTCTCGTCAAGCTCCGGTACGCCGAACAACCGGAAAATTTATGACACCTAACAACTGCTTGATTTTAGAATATTGAATGTTATTCCAATTTTCACCGTTTTCATACGGGGCAATAATTTGCCTCGACATTTTCATCAAATTAAACGTGAGAACATTATTGTTTTGAACCTCAGTTACGTCAAATCAATCACCGAATAATAAATTTGAAACTTTTAATTCTACAGCGAGTCAGCGACATAGGTAACGACATGGGTCACGATCTCAATACTTATTACCTATTTCATTTCGCGGATCGGTGCGCCACTGCTCTAAAGACGTAAAGTTTCAGTAACTCGCGATATAATTTGATTTTACATTAAAAGTTTTTACTATCCTTGGAGTATAATACTGCAAATGATTGATATCATGTATATTCGAGTAATTCATAAAACATTTCTGTATAATTTCACCTTTCGGACTTGCGCGCAAAAGTTTTCACTCGGTGCCGACTGCCGAGGGGCTATGTGGCATCTATTGTTCGTTTGTAGTCAGCCATTTATGGCGACGATCAGTGCTCACATGACCTGTTGTCGGTGATCTCGTGACCAAAACAAACTTCGCTCCCGCCACTTGGCTAATACAAAAACAGATGAGGTAGTCTAAATTCTCTATAATGTTACGTGTGGTTTCCAATTTTTTTATTATTGTGGTCAAAAATGAGTATTGGTATGACTATGACCAGTTGACCACTATGACGTAGACGTATGAACGAATGAGATGGATTTATGGGATATGTTCAAGAAAAAGAATTCAGAGGTGAACATTCAGATTGTAAACAACTGCGATCGCTCTGTGTCATTGGTATTTCTATTGTATGTTTTAGATCTAATATTCATAAGTTAAAGTTCATAGCCTAAGCCTAATTTGATGATAGGCCTACTTGTAGAGTGTAGACTAGTGTTGTGTTTTACTTGTAGGCATAGTGGCAAACCAGAGCTTTTTTGGAATCAGTTCATTTTTAATTTCCTCAACTACTTAAGATTTAAACTAATTTCTAAAGTATGAAAATTCTGGTATCCATGATACTTTACTAGACTACTTATAGTATTCAAAAATGAACTTGAGGGAGAGTCTAAAAAACTCTCTGCTTTGCCACTATGCTTGTAGGTAACTAAGGTAGCTAACTTAGGTAAGTAGGTACCCCGTAGTCCGTACCAGGTCACTAGACACTAGGTGCATACCTACCTAGGCAAGGCCTTGACTTGAGTTGAGTCAGTTCACTCAGTTGACCAGCTTGACCTTTGGCTCTAAAGATTTATAGGTAGTGTTTGATGTTCTTGTATTAACAAGTTGGCCGCGATGTGCGACTGCGCCATATATGATATATGTAGTATGTACATGCTATACTACTCAGAATTGCGATGTGTACACATGTGGTCAGTGGTACACTGGTACTACATGCCTATGAAAAATACATATTTTTATAAAATCTTGTAACTCTTTCAAATTTAAGATTTCAATGATACAATTCAATAGGCATGTTAGGGTAAACGCGGTATATTCCAACACATTAAGGACGCATCGAGAAATGAAAAACTATAAAAAAAACCGTATGCGTTACGTAAGTTCTGTTGCCTTCATGTGACTCTCAAAACACTTCACTACGCGTCAGCAACGATGAAACGTCACAAAATATTAGTTGAAAATTTGTCTCTTAAGTTGACCGCAATGAACTAAACTTCATTAAGTAATCATTAGGCAGAGTTTCCCATCGGCATCATGCACACTAAACATGCAATTCAGAGTTCAGACCAGCCGAACTACATAACACGTGAGCTAACATGCAACTGAATTGAATTGGAATCTAGCTTCTTTCCCGCTACCCTCAGCTGATGAGGTAAAACTGTCAAGTTCGAACATTGCTGAATGCTCTATTGCTGTATATCGTATTATTCTTATGCACGCAATTACGGGTAGATAATGAACAATCAATCAGGTTACTATTTTCATAATACAGCATTTTGAATAAATGTATTTTTTATAGTCTGTCTTAGAAGAAAGGCGAAATGTTAACGCATTGTAATGATTCAAGTACTTTATTGGCATTCTGATTAAAGCACTAAAAGGATAAATATAGAGATATTAAAAATCATAGTTTTATTAATCCATTTAATCTTGGAAATTTGGCAATTCTGCAAGAACGGTTAAGAACCCCTTCCAAATCCGTGCACGTCATTTTTAGCGCAATTCCGTGGGAATCCTTGTTTGGAGTAGGTACTCCTGATCAGGATCATAAATTTCCAATCGGGCGCTACCGGTGATCTAGCGGGATGATTAATCGTATAGGTACCTACTTAATTTGTATACGGTTGTATACAAATTACGAATTAACTAATCGTTCGTATACTTAATGCAAGAGAATGAATAATAATGTTGTTTCTGGTCAAATGAACGGAAGCTTTTCTGTTTCTGATCAAACAAACGAAAACTATCAAACGAACGAAAACTTCTGATCAAACGAATGAAAACTTCTGATTAAACAAACGAAAACTTCTGATCAAACGAACAACAACAAACTTTTTGAAGATAATTCTGAAATTGTAACGTCTATTGAATTCTAATACGGATCATTAATTTTAACATCGTATTTCCAAAAATCAAGTATTACATTTCTTTTACTTGAAAAACATTCTTTTACATAAAAAACAACGAATTTTTTCTTACAGCTCCTCAGGAATGACGAATGAATGCTCCTCATATTGACAAATGACGATCTTACTCTTATAGCTAAAAATTTTAAATTGAACAATGTTGTCATTTCAAAGACTCCATTGATTACAGAACTTTAGTTTTTGGAAGTGTATTCAAGAAAAGTTTCTGAAATAGTAGGAACATTTCCATTATCATTCTGAAATAAAAGCGTCATTTCCGTTCTTATATATAAACAGGATTAATAAAATACCTATCAAATCCATCCAATGTCATTCAATTTGTGATGTATGAAAGACAGTTTCACTTTGATTCCTATGATGCTCATTTTTACTGGTTGAAGCTGTAGAATTAAATTAAATTAAAAAATAAAATAAAATTTTACTAAATCAAAATTTATTATTTAACACACTAGATGGTGCATACTGTAGAATTAAATTCTATTAGAAAAATGTTGAATTAAAAATCTGATTATATTTTTTAAATTAGAAATTAATTTATATTGAATTAAATTGTATTATTAATGCACTATATGGTATGGTATGTGCTCTATGTTTTATATAATGAAATAGTTTCCCATGTTAAACAACGAAAATTTTCTAAAAGACACAAAACGTTTGAAAACGCAGGATGGCATATGAAATCATTCAGAATTTGAAGTGAATTCATTAAGATAAATTCAACATAATAGGGCAAAAAATGAAAAAAAATCAAATCTGGAACGTATAAATAGGTTTTTATAATTAAAAAAAAACTTTCAATCATTTAAATCTCAGAATGGAATGTGGATCAAGTCTCATTATTGTGAAATCGAACTTGACATGACCAAAAGCTATGCCTGTGATGTTGCCATGTCAGATATGATCGTGGAAACACCATGTGAATGTACGCCTTGGAAAAGTCAAAGTTTATCTCATACTTTTGTGTGATATCAAAAACTTTGTTGGTATTGCCCAATCGTGTGAATTTTTTATGATTCTGGATGTGTTTTATTTTTATTTTAAAACGTATTCATTGCAAAAATGTGTCCGCTAGCCTACAGATAAACGACTAGTTAACTTGATTAGTTGTTGGCAACACGGGATTGGATTTCAAACCACGCGCAATTTCGGAAGCACGGTAGGTTCCAATGAGCTCAGTTTATAAATTTTCATTGCAGTGGAAGGTGGTGTAACGCGGTGGTAGGGTTGGTATTTTGATACGTTTTCTTATATTGACATGAGAATATATTACCTATACAGAATTCCACACTGGTCGCTGGGTAATTTTAAATGAAAAGCCATCTACGCTGATTAATGAAAAACTATTTAAAAGCCACAAACTTATTTACAAGGTTGCATACACATGTTACCCCAAAAAACTAATTTTACCCTAAAAACAGTCCCATTGTACAGCAAGTGTCAACTGAACATGTGATAATGCAGTCTGACTGCTCTAATGTGACCGCAACTACGTAATCGTAAACTTGATGTTTACATTTCTTTGGCGGGAACTCATTGCAACTGATTTCTGGACAAGCTTCACTGCATCCTGATCCATCCAACATTCCGGAAACTTTACTTTTTTCTAAATAGTTGGCTGAAGACTAACAACTATATTAAATGCAAGAATTTCAATCTGAATGTGTTGGCAAGATCTTCTGAAGGCATAAATTTTGCTTATGAAGCGTTGCCAAAGATCTTGCAATATTCATCCACTCTCTGCACAGTGGGTACTTCTCAAAATCGCGATGTGTACACATGTGGTACATGCCTATGAAAAATACATATTTTTATAAAATCTTGTCACTCTTTCAAATTTAAGATTTCAATGATACAATTCAATAGGCATGTTAGATTGTTAGAGAATGATTTGAAGTAAACTACTGCTTAGAGAAATAGTCTTCTTGTTATTTTTCAAATGCAAGTAATACAAAAACTACAAAATTTGTTTCCATTGATGAAAACAATATATATAGGTACCTATGTAAACAAAATAAAATATTTTTTATTGATCTGCAACTACAACATTAGATGTTGCCAACATCATTATATTGCAAATGTGATTGAAAAACAATTATCGCACATGTATGGTTTTCCTTCACACTTCAGTCATCAAAATATTTTTTTACCCTTCAAATTTCACCTTTGCTACAGCACTTCGGCCACTTCCCTCATTTGCTGAGCAGCTGAGACTCAGAGAGCATGTTGTTATTGTTGAAGCATTCATGGCAGCGCATCCTGGTTTTAGTTCTAGTTAGTTCAATGAAAGTGGGCTGTCCTCTTTCCCACTTGATAATTTGAGATCTACATCCTGATTGTACTCTCTCTGAGATGCTGTTTGTAACAGAAGCTCAAGACAATATATACAATGAATGATCTCTCTAAAGTAAATATAACTGAACTAACAATGTAAATACCCTCAATTTTATTCAGGATTATGAAAACCTGGACACCAATCTCTTTCCATACTAATTTCCATGCGTAATATACATCATTCACAAAAAGCTAAGAGATACTTGTAGTCATAATGTGTGCAATTATGACTCAAAACTAATGTAGATTACTTGCGCGCATCACTCACAGTTATACAAGTGATAACTTTAGGCGTTTTTCTGCAATATGAGCCATAGATGCATGTCTTTGCTTGGTACACATCGCCCACAGTACTAGAAGTGATTACGATAGGCGGCGTGAGCCAATATGAGCCACAACAGGCATGGCTTCACTTAGTACACATCACCAAGAATAATGATGAACTTCAACCCTGAGCGATGTGCACCAAATACTGTCACCAATTTTACGTGACACAATGACAGAACATATCCCTGCAGAGCTGCACACAACTTTTCTCCTTGCTATGCCGGGTTACTGAAGATATACAAGTTTGAACCTATCGCCCATACGACATTCGGGCCAAATCAGCAATCGCAGCCAATGTGTTAAATTGTTCAATCTTATGAAAAT